CACACACACACACACACACACACACACACACACACACACACACACACACACACACACACACACACACACACACACACACACACACACACGCACATACACGCTAATATGCACACACGTATATGTTCGCACCTGCATACCTATGCACATTCGCTTGCACACACACGCTAGCAGTCACTCGCGCCCAGACCTGCACGCACACGGTTACGCGTTCATCCCAGATATCTTTCTATTATAATCAAGAGCCCGCAATGTTATAGAATTATGGGCTCTTGTTTGCATGTTATCAGTCAACATTTACTCTCCGAGAACAACGCGCCTAGCGCGCATCCTTTGTTTTTAGAAACATTGCTTTAGCCTCTTATCTTTTTACGTCATATTTATTATGATTTTTTTAATGATTTATTATGATTTATACGACATATGCATTATTTACTTATTCATCTTCGCGTACAAGTATATCGAATCATGAGTATAGCACGAACATATTCGTTGTGATACACATCGCTACGCCTATATATTCTTAGCATTTCATCTACACATCGTGATGCACTCACTGATCGATAAGTTTTCTCTGCGGCGCGTATTTGTACGTTAATTAAATCGAGCTATAACCCATATACTCACTTGTCGTGTCCACGCCGAGGCACAGCGACCACTCAGACTTGGCGATCTTGTTGTCCTGATCGAGGTCGCAGTACTTGACGAAGTTCCTCGCGCACGGCCTCGGCTTCACGTACTTCTTTACGAGCTTCTGCAGGTTCCGAACCTCCTTGCGGCTCAGCTCGCCGTTCTTGTTCTGATCGAGTTCGATGAACTTCCAGCCGATGACCGTCTTCTTCGTGTCGATCGACTCCTGATCCAGCGCGAAGAACGACCCTGGCGAAGAGGAAAAAAACGATTGCACTGTGCAAGTATTGCACGAAGAACATGGAGGCTGCGTGGAGCGAAAAACATTCCCGATTTGTTTTGTCTACGCGGGGGGATCCCCGAGCTACGAACATCCGACTTGTGAACATTCGCGCTTGAGAACATCCGGCTTGAGAACATCCCAGCCCATGAACATTTGGATTCGCGAACGAGACTCCTCCCTGTTATTGGGTTTAATATTGCTGTGTGCGATCGGCGAACCGCACGACGCGCACGTGCGAAACAAACAACACTTCTTTCACAGAGTTCTGTACGGAGTTCCGATTAATGCAACTTACAAAAGGAACCCGGGGAGTCCCTTATATCAACTCCCTTCGTCTCCATGCATGCTTTCAAATCTGAGCATCAAATCCTAATTGCTTTCAGACTGAAGTCGGGTAATAATATTGCGCGGACGACATAACTCTGTAAGGGTCTGCGCTACGATGTTATTGGTTTTTCGAAGTCCGGTGGCGTCGCAAGAGAGCGTGTCTGTTGCGCTTAACAAAATCTAACTGGGATCTAATGGCAACGCGATTGTGCTTAAAATTCCCAACGTTTTACGAAGATCGCTGAGTCCCGATGTAAGTCTCATCAGGTGGTAAAGAGAGAAAGAAAAAGAAAGAAAGAGAGATAGATAGAGAGAGAGAGAGAGAGAGAGAGAGAGAGAGAGAGAGAGAGAGAGAGAGAGAGAGAGAGTAGTAAGAAGAAGAGAGAGGAGGAGAGAGAGAGAGAGAGAGAGAGAGAGAGAGAGAGAGAGAGAGAGAGAGAGAGAGAGAGAGAGAGAGTAGTAGGAGGTAGGTAAGGTAGACGGTAGGCGGTGGTTAGTAGTAGTCGGTACGACGTACGTACGTCGTGTAC